AAAAGGCCTGAGATCAAAGAGACAAGTGGGTAAAGTATTTCAATTCACTTCAGACTTTGAAATCAGGCCCTGAGTGTTTTCCATACAGGATTCGAGTGGGTAGAAAGCAGGCTAATCCAGACACCCCCTTCCCAACCTCTCCGGAATCGAATGTTAACAGCTGATAAAAGGTGAGCTACGTGAGGCAGGAACTGCTAAAATATTTACTGTGAAGCATAGAAATGCCTGTGCTTTCGGGGATGCTTCCAAGGGCCTATTTCCTAAGATTGGCAATCCCGAGACAATAAGGAACCGGCTGAGAAATGTGAGTACATCATTTAGAAACTGCCATGGAGAAGACAGCCATGAAAACACGAGGGTCAAACTGGGTGAAATCATCCATGACATACAGTCAATGTCTGAAAACAACACCTCCGTCAGTCGACAGAAAAGCAATGAAAAGAGGCAAGGCTCTAAAGCCCAAGAGAACAGGCCAAGGGCACCAAGCACGGAGACAAATACTCACACTGGGAACTGGGAACCACAGGCTAAAATGAGAGAGCACTTCCCTCCCATCCTTTGTGGGTGGGTGCTGAGCAGAGCAACGGGGGTGCTTCCTGTGTGCGCTGGGAATTCTTAGAAAGTCAAATGACAGAACCTGTATGATCTGATCCTATTCTGTAAAAACAAATATATACACAGACCGTGCTCTGGAAGGACAGATACCTGTTAACGGTGCTTGTCTGTGTGGATAATTAAAGGCACTCTTACTATTTGCAGAGTTCAGCATATGAGTCTGGACTTTCTTAATAAGCGTGCAACCAGGTATATAATTTAAAACAGGTAAATAATTAAAAAAACAAAGCAGGGAGTCAACAAAGAGGCTTTATGGGGCAGCACACAGACAACCACCTGGCAGGGGCCACTGGGAGGTGAGGGGCACATGGCTGGCGGACAGACAACGGCGCTGCCACAGCGCTACAGCCAAACGCAGGCCCTCACCACAGCACAACTGCAGACTCTAACTAGCTATGTGCCCAGGGTACTGTGTGAAGTGACATAAGTGATATGTTTGGCTGACTAAGAACCTCACGGATGTGACCACACCTCCACATTCACAGCATTTACCCAACACGTCACGGAGTCAGCACACAGCCATCTGCTAAGTCACTGAGGTGAGTTATAAATAGTACTAACAATACCCTGGGCAAAGGCAAAATACTCAAAGAGGACACGCCAGCGTTACGTCACGTTGCCAAAAACCCATCACCAAAGCCCACCCTGTTCCTCCCTCCCATTCACACCCCTCCGTGACACTCACCCTTTTCTTCAAGCGCTCCCGCTCCTTTAGAGTGAGAGTGTCAGCTTTGGCAATGACAGGCACAATATTGACTTTATTGTGTATCGCCTTCATAAACGCAACATCTAAGGGCTTAAGCCTAAAAATTGAAGAGGCATCACATGTTTAGGAAAAAAGGAAGCCCACCCGGAATTTCTCAAAATTATCTCAGTTCTTACGTCACAATAGTTTTGGGGACGCTGCGAACCCCACTAGCAGAGATGCACTTTTACCCTACACACCAGGCCTCCACGGCAAGCCAGCGATGACATACCCATGTCCGAAGGGGGAAATGAAGTAGAAGCAGCAATGCACCCTGTTGTCCACGATGTGGCGTCTGTTCAAGCCACTCTCGTCGTGCAGGTACCGCTCAAACTGCTCGTCAATGTAGGAGATGATTGTCTTAAAGCTGACAGAAACAACAGTGTGAATGGTTGACGGGGTGCGGAGGCAGGCAGCCCCAGCTCCAAAGACAAAGCACATCTTCCTGGCCCCTGCCCCCACCAGGTGTCATCTGAACTCATCTGCAGGACATGAATGGAAACTGACTCCTGGACTTGGCACGATGGAGATTTCTGGAAAGTGTCAAGCCTCATTTCCCTTATGAGTCAGGGTCAAAAGCCTGACTGGAATAGTCACAAGCAGCCTGAGATGACTGGGTGAAGACCCTGGGCTGCCACTGCTTTCAAGGGGTGTGACAGTGAAGAGGGGCGAGGGGCACCAGTGAGGGGAGGAGGGTGGAAGGCATGAACATGGGGGCCAGACGGGTGTGTGAGTCGGAAACCGCACACACCGTAGGATGCCAGAAACGGCCTGCAGAAGGAGAGAAGGTCTTTGCCCCTACCGCTCCTCATCCAGTGCTAGGAAGTTGGTGCTTCCGGGTCACAGGGCGCAGACCAGGGGACTTATACGATGGAAGTGCTATTCTCTGCCCAGTCCTGGGGACAGACCACGCTTATCTTCTACTTCTTCATTCCTTGCTTGTGCAAATGATGCCAAGAGCAGCCATTTACAGGCACCAAGACTTGATTGAGTCTAAGAGGCCTCATTTCCTCACATACGGGCAGGAGGAAGACTGTACCCTGATATCATGTCCACTGGCCATGGCTGACCCAGGCGGTTTCATTTACACCAGCACTGGATGGATGATTGGCTGGGATTTCAGATCTCACGAATGTTTTCAGAGAAAAAATACTCTGTGAAACCCCGTATTTAACATGTCGTAATTAACGTGATTTAAACTGTCTCGTTTCACCACGTACAGGGACTCCAGACCCGTAATCCCTTGGTGACACCGCCAACCTGAATATGCTGGAATAAACATAATCCGGGCGCTGCCCAGGGGTGCGTACCAGTCCCTGCAGTTGATAGCGTCCCCATAGCCGGGTGTGTCCACCACTGTCAGGCGCAGCTTGACCCCTCGCTCTTCAATCTCAACAGTCGAAGCCTCAATTTGGACAGTTCTTTCAATTTTCTCTAGAAAAGAAACAAATCCAAATAGACAATGTACTTAAATGTCAAGCCAATTGGCAAAGAAAAGAAAGTGCCTGCTGGTTACGTTATTATAAACAAATGACTTGGAAGTCTCTACTCTCTCCAAGCCACTCCTCTCAGAAGGTAACATGAGGATTGTGTAAAAATGATGCCAGAGTCAGCAAGGGAAACACCAAAGCTAAGATTAAAGAGCTGCCTGAGAAGGTACAAAAGCCCATACTGAAAATCATGATGTCTTTTCCCGGCAAAAGGGCTCAGGTTCACGTAGAAGCTGAGTCCTGGGGGCTGTGTCCGCGCGGCGGCCCAGGGTCCAGGGTCCTATGCTGAGCACACGCAGCAACAGCGTTCTCAGAGCCAGTGTCCTGCGTGGGGACGCTGGCCAGCAGCAGCAGGTGTCCTGCCCCTACTCCCAGTCACCTGCTGCTTGCTCAGCCGTGACCGCACTGTTACCTGACCCTCCCATAAAACATTTAATACAGGCAGGAATATTTATTACACTTTCGAGACAAAGAAAGCCGCGGGGAGGAGGGATCACGGTCCATGGCTGCATCCACAGCCCAAACCCACAGACCTTCAGCACAGAGCCTTCCCTACCCACGTGTGTTCGCATGTTTAAAGCGAACACACACAACACACAGGGCTCGGGCCCAAGCATGTGACGTCACCTCTGCAACGCCCACGCAGACCTGTGTGGTGAATATGCGGCTGTGTACCTGCAGCTCCCGGGATGACTCTCTCTGGGTAGAGGTCGGTCAGGAACAGGCTGTTGATGAGAGTTGACTTTCCTAGACCCGATTCACCTTCGGATGGAAATGAGAACAGTGTCACAACGCTGTAAGCATGGCAGTTAACCTGCCGGGGGCTTGCTGGCCTGGTAGCAGGCTAAGCACCTCACAACCACCACTCTCTGGACACCACACGGTGGCTGTGACGTTGGTACAACTCCCTTTCCAGTGATGGGAACAGAGGCTCAAGGACAGTGTTGGACCCAGGGCAGGGCCTCAACCTGGACCCAGGTCTGTGGGTTCCAGAGTTGGTACATCTTGGATCAGAAATATGATCTCACCCTTTACAAATGTGTGGAATGGAGCTAGAGAGTCTTAATTTTTTGATAAAACAGAACACAAAGGATGTTTTCAGTGATGAATTTTGCTAACCGTCTAACTCACCCCATTTCCAGAAAACTGAACACATGTACTGAGTGAACAATGTTAATAGCACGGAGCCTCCCAGGTCACGGCGATGGCAGACGGGAGACACCGAGACTGCCTTGAACATGGCCAAACGAAATTTCCCCTGGTGGACAGGGCGACAGCGGCCCCTCTCCTCTTCCCGTTTGAAACACCCCCTTGTACCACCACTGGCAACTGCCCATGTCCGGCAACTTCCCTCCTTGGTGCCCCGTGCAGCACTACCAGTTTGGGCAATCCACACTCATTCAAGTATCGAACGTGCCAGAGTTCCTCTTAAACTACAGCAACTATGGACTGTAAACATTAGAAATGTAACCTCAAAGAAGGTGCAAAATACCCCAAATTAAACCTTACATTCGAAGGGAGCACTGCAGGTCATCAGCTAAGGCTTAACTCCGCGTACAGAGGAACCTGTGAGCGTGCTGCCAGACTGCCTCCCGGCTTCCCGGGTTTGAACCTCCCTCCCCTGCCTCTTCCTGCACAGCATGGGGAAGGAGGACATGTCTGCCTTAGAAATCATTAGTGTTGGGAAAGTCAAAGACAAAAGAGTGAGTCTGGAATGTGTAGACATACAAGGTCCGACAATTAAGTTGGTGAACTCATCCTAGAAAAAGTGCTACCTACCTCACTGCTGAATATCACTATGGTCACCCCCGAGTACTCCCCTTGGGAGGCTATACACCGACGCCAGCGCCTAATCCACCCTTCAAAGCAATTTTGGAACTCTTTTTCTGGAATGGCCATTAGCACTATCGTTGTATTACCCTTGATGTCCTGAGTGTTATCAAAATGTCTTCCTTTCAATATTTCCTTTATCTTTGGGTAAAGAAAGAAATCATCAGGGGCCAGATCAGGTGGATAAGGGAGGGTGTTCCAATAGTTCTTTGTTTACTGGCTAAAAATGCCCTCCAGACATTGCTATGGGAGCTGTTGCTTTGTAGTGATGCCAGACCCATGAATTATTGGTAAAAAGTTTAGGTCATTTTCATCTAACTTTTTCACGAAGCCTTTTCAGCACTTCCAAGTAGTTTGTCCAGTTGGTACAAATTCATAATAAACAATTCCTTTGATAGCAAAAAAAGGTTAACATCACTTTGACTCTTGATTTGGACTGATGAAACTTTTTTGGTTGTGGAGAATTGGCTGACTTCCACTGTGCACTTTGACGCTTTGTTTCAGGGTCATATTGGTACACCCATGTTCATTACCAGTGATAACACAGCACAAAACATCATCTTGCCTCTCCAAAAGGTCTTGGCAAACTTCGACCCTCCTTTGCTTTTGTTCATCATTGAGCTCCTTTGGGACCATTTTTGCACACACTTTTCTTATGCCAACATTTTCAGTTAAGATTTTCCTATAGATGTTTACTTGGTCTGCTACGCTTCTCACAATCAGCCGACAATTCTGACGCACAATTTGACAAATTTTTGCAATGTTTTCATCAGTTCTGCTCGTTACTGGCTGTCCTGACCTCTCTTCATCAGTGACGTGTTCTCTCCCCTCAGAAAACCGTTTAATCCATTTGTACACTGCCCTTTTCTTCATGGCATTATCCCCATAAACTTGGACTAACATGTCCCTGATTTCACTTGCACTCTTGACAAGTTTAACAAGATATTGTTTGTTCATTGTTCTCATTTAAGCTCAGGCATTCTCGCGACAGCACACAAAAACTCACAAAAATAATGAATGCCACTCAGGAAGACACCTCCACACGTTGACACGAACACAGCTGTGAGACACTGATATAACAAGGTTATGAATGAAACCTTACCGAGCTGTTCCTACTGAGCTGTCAATGTAAACGCATGGTGGCCAGTTCGCGAACTTAATTGTCAGACCCGTATGAAATTAGGACTACACTTTAATTAGCTGCAATTTTCACAGATGAAAAGGAACAAAAGGACAAAACTGGAACTACATGTAGAGCATGTCCAAATCCAAGAGTGTATAAGTGTGACTAAATGCACAAGTTATCCTTTTAATAAGCTGTCCAGCAATGCCCCTTTACATTTTTACTACTCCTGACGGGGGTTTTCCAACATATGCTAAATACTCTCTGCGTCCCTGGCAAAGGTCTAGGTGCTGGGGCACAACAGAAAACACGACAGATAACTACCTGCTCCCGTGAAGCCCTGCAGCCCAGTGGGGCAGATGGCAAGCTGACTCACACCGGCTGAGTCGTGAAGGCCGCGGAAAATAAAGCTCAAGAGGGGCAGGGCTGCAGAAGACACGTGAGTAAAGGGTCTGAGACAGCCTCTTCTCAAACAGCAGTTGACAGTATCCCAGCTGATTCTAAATTCTAAATCTTCACTTTAAGGGTGGAAGCGATTATGTCACATGGAATAGCTTTTGGGTGACATGTACACATACTGTGCTTATTAACTCAGAACATGATGCTACTCCCAGGCTGGATTTCTGAGAGGGCCTAGCTTTGCTCTGTCCTCACTGGCCTCTATCCCAGCCAGGCATTTCTCAAATAGGTGCCTTTAAATAGGGGAAACGACACACTGTGAAATCTGGACGAGTATAAATCCAGTATTATCCTAAAAATTTAACACAAACATACTGGGGCCAGCAATCTTAACATAGTTATCCTTTACAAGTAGTGATAGCAAAGGTTGATTGGGATGAGGGTATTCAGCTTACAAAACGGCTTGTGTTTTCACTAGATAGGAAGACATACACGGCATCAGGCACACAGTAGTGATGTGACATGAAAAATATGCGGTGGGTGAGAAAAGTTGTGCTTCCGTTTACGGTAATAGCGGTCTGAGATCCCATCGGGCAAATTGTCTCAAAAGCTTTAGATTTTTTTTTTTATTAGTTTCAGGTGTACAGAGCAACGTAACACATTTAAACCCCTCATAAAATAATAACCCACCCCCCAAGCTACTACCCCTCTGACATCTTATATAGCTGTTACAATAACATCGACTATCTTCCCTATGTTGTACTCCACATCACCTGACTATATATGCCAGTATATTTAGTTATAGTTGACATTCCATATTATTCTACTTCAGCTTCAGGTGTACAGCACAGTGGTCAGGCATCTATCTACACAGCCTATGACGTGATCCCTCTGATAAGTCCAGTGCCCATCTGGTACCTTACATGATATTTTCAACATTGTTGATTATATTCCCCATACCGTATTAACTACCAATTTGTATTTCTTAATGCCTTCACCTTTTTCACCCTGCCCCCAACCCCATTCCCATCTATCACCCTAGTAGATCTAGTACCATTCTGGCACCATACCTAGTTATTACAATATTGAGTATATTCCTTATGCTATAACCTACATCCCCGTGACTACTGTGTAACAACCAATTTGTACTTCTCAATCCCTTCCCTTTCACCCATCCTTAATCCCCCTCCTATCTTAAACAAGTCCCTCTAAGATTTCTTGTAATATTGGTTTGGTGATGATGAACTCCTTCAGAAAAGCTTTAGGTTTTAATCAAATTGAAGTTTTATTTTTTAAAACCTAGGCTAAAAAAAATAAAACAACAAAACTCAGGCTAAACTAGGAACGCTAGGAAATAAAGAGCTTTCTAAGCTGGAGGAGGTCCTCTTCACATTTACCTTTGATTTAAACCAAGAAACTGGTTCCTCGACCTGTAACAAGGGCCTTTTCAGAAGGCCCTGCAGAATGTTCTAAAGGATCAGCCTTTTCGCCCATTCAAGCAACTCCTATCACGTGTCAGTGATGGCAGGATGGAGCTCCCAGGAGGGTGCTCCGCAGGCCCCACACACTGGAGAGCTGCCCCCGTCCCCCGCTCACATGCCCCAGAATGCACGAACCTACAATTACACTAGCACATTTTTACTTTAAGGCCAGCTTTCATTTTCTTAGCTTAGTTCTGAAGTTCTCATGTCCACTCCAGCCCTCTTGTGAATTTGGTCAACTAACCATCCTATTGACTTTCTAGCAGGTAACGCACTTGGCAATAAGCTTTCTATTTTTAATCTTGCTTTTCTTATAAATTGAGCCACCATCCCAGCTAATTGCGGGAGGCTAATGACGTATGTTATTACCAACTGCCGCCCTTTGAGTAGACACTTAGCTGCATGGGCACATTCTCTCATGGATGGCTCTCCACCTGGCTTCCTTCCTTGAGGTCTTCGAAGAACTTATTTGTGATTTTAAAGTTCCACGCAGATTGTGGCCCAAACATTTGTAACCTTTCATTTGCACATGGTCCGTCATTTTGTGAAATTTCTAATTTCTTTAGAAGTCTGCCAGAACTTAAAAAACTACCTTTCCTCTCCAATAGTCTCAGACTTACAAGGTGGCTGTATTGGGTTTTCCTGATATACCATTTCTCTTGAGCTACTCATAGTTACAATTTAGAAGTTGAGGGTTTTGTGGTTAACTTTCTGGGTGTCTTTGAGTTCCATCTTGCCTCTAATCCCCTACCTGCTTTCCTTATCAACTTCACACCGGTAATTTACCTGTATGTTAATCTGTTAAGTGCACCCGTTTAAACCATACAGCGGGATCCATACTGACAAGTGTCCATTCAGACAAACTCAAGATAATATCCATACCATTAAGGGGTTCCTTTGACCACTTAAGTCAACTCCACCCTCTCGTCCCCACTGCAAGCACACACCAGTCTGCGTCCTGTCACTCCAGGTGGATTATTCTAGAACCTCATACATGGGCATGTACAGCGTGCCCACCTGTGTCCGGCAGCTTTTGCTCAGCACCGCTGGCTTCTGAGACTGCTCCCTGCTGTTGCATCCAGCAGCCCGTTGCTTTGTGTGTGAGTGATGCTCCACTGCACGGGCACACAACTTGCTGACCTACCCTCCTGCTGAACTTGTCCTTCCTTCGCCTCATCCACTGACAGATAACTAGTAACATGGTTGTGTTCAGGCTGTCATTCTGCTACTTTTCTTATTTGTCTCTTCTATTTTATTTCATCTCAAAGGTTGCAGTTTTAAAAAAATCTCTAGATGTTCCCTTTGGTTCTTTTTGTTGGCTTCTATTTAGCTCATTACATTCATGTTGTCCTATCAGTGGAGAAGCACATTTAAAATACTTCCAGTTCTTGTTCACCCGTTCTAGCATCTCGGTCATTTCCGAGTCTGTATCTATTGCCGGATTTCTCATCTTGTTCTTGGCCACAGAGTTTCTGCTTCTTTGCATATCTAATAATTTTCTATCGGATGCTCGATATTGTGAATATCACACTGCAAATGTCTGAATTTGATGTTCTTCTCTACTGAGCCTTGTCCTGGAAAACAGTTCATTTATTTGTAAACCAGCTTGATCCTTTCAAGTCTTGCTTAAAAACTTTGTTAGGGAGGCTTTAAAAAAGTCTTTACATCTAGTTTAGCCCTACTGCTAAGCAAGGGCTTTCTGGAGTTTCCAATGGATGCCTTGGGTGCTCAAGTCTGCTTGGCTGGAACTCGAGGTCTCTTGAACCCCTGGTGGCTCTCCAGCTCCACGCAGTCTCCAGGTCAGCTTGGTCTCCTGGTGGTCACATTATGCCCAGGCTCGTGGAATTCTACCCTACCCAAAGGCACATCAGTGTTCAGCCTGGGTCCTCTCAGTGCAGATTTCTGGAGTCCTTCATCTGTCCTGGAATTCGCCACACTACCTACCTCAGGATCAGTCACCTAAGCTTCCCCGAATCACGATGACTAATCCGACTCTGAACCTCCTGGGCTCAGGCTGACTACCCCTTCCTGGGGCAGGGGCAGGGAAACGGCAGAAAGCTGCAATGACTTTACAGTTCACGTGATCGTGTTCCTTCTCCCAAGGACAAAGTCCTGCACTGCCTATTGTAGAATATCCCAGAAGAGCTGACTGCTATATTCTGATCAGCCTTTCAGTTATTCATGCCAGGAGGACTAGTCTGGTCGCAGTTACTTCAGGGATCAGCAAACTAGGACCTTCAGGTCAAATGTAGCCTGCAACCTTGTGAATAAAGCTTTACTGGAACACGGCTGTCTATTCGTTCACGTATCATCTACAGTGGTTCTCCATGACCACAGGAAGTTGAATGGCTGCACTAAAAACTGTATGGCTCACAAAACCTTAAATATTTACCACCTGGTCCTTTGGGGAAGAGTCTGTCAACCTCTGAATTATCCTATCATGGCTAGAAGCAAAAGTTATTGCCTGTTTTTGAATGCTTTAAAATTAAGTCACTCTGTGATAGATTGCACTGGAATTCTCTTTTCTATCAGGAACTTGAGTTGTCATGATTATCATATAACTGCGATCCTAAAACATGTCACCATTCACTTCTCTGGACCAAGAGTCCCACGTTTTCTTTCATTTCAGATCTATGAACTATTCACCCGAGGAAACAGTCATCTGTTCTACTCGGACATGACCATCGTCAAGCTATCTCCTTGATTTTTGGAGAATTTTGCAGTTATCGAGAATGAAATAAAATGTGATATGGTGAGAATTAATAGCTCATCAGTAGATAATTCAAGTTAAGCATGTTATGGACATGCTAAACACAGTATTTGCTATATAGCCCATGGCAAAACATATCGAATATAAGAGAAAAAATTTCAAGTAACCACTCAATTTCAAAGGAATTTAATAATTTAAAAAAACTTGTAAAGACTACTTGTTTAAAACACATCCACCACAAAAATTTAAGGAGTTATTATTTTTTTTGAGTATTAAACAAACACACTAATTTAATACGTGTATTAGTTATCTATCAATATGTAACAAATTACTGTAAAACTCAGAGGCTTAAACCAACAATCAACGTTTTTTATGATTTCATGGATTTTTCTGGTCAGGAATTTGTGAGTGTCTACTATGGTGGGTGTTACGCTTGGGGAGGTCTCTCATGCAGTAACAGTCAATGTCAGCCAGGATGGCTTGTCACCACAGGCTTAACTAGGGATGGAGGATGCTTCTGAGACGGTCACTTACATGGCTACTGGCAGGCCTCAGTTCCTTGCCTTGGGGGACTTTGCTATAAGGTGGCTTGAGTGTCTTCCTAACATGGTAGCTGGCTTCCTCCAGAGTGAGTGATTTGAGAGAAGGCAAGGCACAAACCACAATATCTTTTATAACCCAGTCTTGAACTCATTTGCCTTCACTCGTGCAATGCCCTATCTGGCTACCCAGGTAAGCCCTATCTGTTCCCAGAGGGAGACTAGAAAGCTGCCTGACACCAGGAGGCAAGGGTCATTGGGCGACATTGGGGAGGCTGGCTGCCACAATGAGTAAAGACTTTCACTACATCTGAATAAGCAGATGACAGAAATACTATGTTTTCCTCTTCAGCAAAATTTTCTAAAGAATTTTCCTCCCAAATTCCCAAGTTATTTGATTCTGCCAACAAAACAATTTTCCCTTTGACTTTACAGGTCATACATACTATTAGTATACCTCACAGGTTGGAAAGGAGAAAGTTTCACATATTTAATAAGCTTGAGGGTATAAGTTAATTTCTTACCGACCACCATTAGTGTGAACTCAAAACCTTTTTTCACTGATTTTCGGTGAACTTGGTTGGGAAGATTTGCAAATCCAACATAGCCAGGAGTTTCTGGATTTATAAACTGAGCTGGTTGTTGCTAAAATCAGATTTTACAAAAAAAGGAAATAAACACCTTATTAGTTGCTTTTAAGATATAATCAAGCTGCAACAAACATAGGTTATTATTAGCTCTCACAAATTAAATATATAATACATAAATAACACTTCTAAAATGTCCCTTCTATCAAAAAACTGATGGTATTCACTGATGAACACTTATTAGAAAGAAAAACCAAACAGTATTATTTCATGCCTATATGCTGACCTAAAATTACATTTCTGCTAAGCAATCCAGCAATCCACAGAAGAAAATACTTCCCGGTATCAGGTATGATGATTTATGAAAAGTATCCAGGAGGAGGTCATGTCTCTATGGAACAGAGCCTCACCAAGGGTGAGGCAGGCGACTTAGGGGTGGGATTTTGAGTATTTAGCTTCAAAGACCAAGAAAGAGAAGATTGACACTGAAGTGTCAATATTCCGACTGGTGGACAACTGATATGAGGAATGACAGATGGACATGTGACAAAGCAAGTACAGTAAAGCCGTAGACCTGGGCAATGGCACTCTATAAATGGGAAGAAATCAAAAGACACATCAATTGATTTATTAAATCAATTGATTTTTTTAAATGTATACTCACACTTATAAAAAAGAACATTCATACAATGTTATCTGGTTATTTCTGAGCGATGAAATTACGGTTAATTTTTCTTTTCTTTTCCCCCTTATTGGTATTCCACACTAATACTTGTATAAAAAGCAAAAATTAGTATGATGCTATGCATTAGATAGTAAGGAACACCCAAAGATTAAAAAACAAAAGGTAAAAAAATTATAAGTCTTGTAACTTCAACCACAAGTTCTGCTTTTCTCAGCATGTCCTTTGGAACTAATTTATTTCACAGCTCTGTGCTAATTTGCAAGAGTCAATCAATATAAGCCAATTTTATCAAGTTTAAAAGCCCCATCAATTTCATCATGATAAATCATCAGAATTTTAAATTATTTGACTATTCTACTGAGAATGATCTAAAGAGGCTAAATAGATTATTATTGCTGTATTTAGAAAAAAGAAATTGAAAACCTAAAAAAAGAAAGTTCAAAGTTTTGAGGACAACAATTAAATTAGAACTCTGTCTTAATGAATCAAATACATCAGTTGTATTAAAAATAATGAATCATAAATCTTGACTATAAACAGTTTGAAAATATAAAGCAGTTTCTCCTCATACTGTACACATGAAGTGTAAGCTCTTACCTTAGACATCTTTAGCGAAGTTTCATGAATCTATAAAAAAAATGCACATTATCCATAACGTACACATTTAACTTAGCATGAATTGACATGTAAAAAAACATACACCTAAGGCGTGTCAATAGCTTGTTTCAATTAGCTTATCAATTACATCAGATACTTCCCCAGAAATGATAAAATTATCACCTCATTATAAAGATAAGATATAATTAGTTAGATGAAAGCAACTGTATATACCTATATTCATTCCATATTTGCAACAGTATGAAAACTTCAGTATTGATTATATGTTAGGAACTATGTACACAACAGGTGATAAAGGCAAGTTTTTATGATGTCTGCAACTGTGTTACCTCCTTTCTCTCTTTGAACCTTTTCAACACTGGAGAGCGCTGTTTGCCAGCTGTCCTAGAGGCCTTGAGCTCCAGAGAACTAGACTCTGACACTGGGGCACACAGAGCAATATGAACATTTATAAGCAAAGGAAGGACTGAGGGTACTGAAGTATTTGAGATGTGAGGGTTTTAGAGATAATCAGAATTTGAACAGAAATCTTAGAAGCCTTGACACTTTGGGAAACGTGGGGTCTGTTGCTAATCTTTGGTAACAAGGTCGAGAGATAGACGACCGCAGTCAAATCTGACTCCCTTTGGAGCTCAGAAACTTATTAGAAAGCTTCCTGCACTTTCCTGCCTCCCCATTTCCCCCAAACCTTAACATTCCTGAATATTGCACATCGTTTTCCTTTTGAATGGAAATGTTCCCAAGCACCTCTGAAAAACTGAGGCCCCTCCAGCTCCCGATATGGCTCAGTTAACCAAGGTTAAGACAGACTTCATAAGCCTGTAACGCTACAGTGTTAGGCCACAGAAGGGTTATAGGGTCGGCTCTCCTGAGTAGCGGCCCACTGGAGGCCTTCTTCTCACCTGTCTGGCAGAAATGAGGGGGAGAGGAAGACGAGGGTGAGAAGAGTAGGTACTTACATGAAGCCCGGAAGCTGCTCCTCACTGTGACAGGTCATTACCAAAGGTGGGAAGGAGTTATCAGGTGAAACCTAGAGCTCTAGGGAAGGACTACTGACTACAGAGCAGGTGAAGCTGGATCCTGATTATCCAAATTGCTTTCAGCCTCGGCAGTGCAATTAAGGGAAGCTTAAAGGAAAGCAGGAATGTGAGGCGGCGAGAGAAGCAGATGAATTTGAGAAACACCTGCCACTGGCTTACAGAAATACAGCGGAATAGTCGCAAATCACATTACTCACAATCCAAGGTTTTACTGTATCTGAATTTTATTTTTTAAAAAGATTTTATTGGGGAATTGGGGGAGGGGAACAGACAAGTTGCTGTCCTTTTGTTCTTCAGTCTAGTTGTGGAGGACGTCGCTTCACTGGCCCATGCTACGGTATTATCATTGCGCCCTTCCCAGGTGAGGCAGATTGGTCGCCGGTCACTGGACGGCCACTCATGGCAGCTCTTAGCAGCTCACGCCAGCTGCTGGCCGCTCACGCTGGCTGCTGGCCACTCACGGTAGCTTATGGCATCCCACTGCAGCTTCACTGCAGCCTGCGCCATCGCTTGCCTCGTGGCAGCCCAGCTCCAGGTCGAGCTGTTGTTCACCATCTTAGCTGTAGAGGGTGCAGCGTCACTAGCCCTCATGTGGGATCCCAACCGGGGCCCTGCTCTGCAGCTGGCGTCCCAAGCCAGCTCTTAACCAACGCACCACTCAGCCCATGCACCTGAATTATAATTAAGCAATTTCCTTAGTGTTTTTATTAGACTTGGTTGCTGAATTTTTTCATGCCTCCTCAGCATCTATTCACGTGATTTTCTACTTTAATTTGTTGTAAGAGCTTATATTGATAGATTAGGTACATTTCTGGAATCTAACTGCAGCAAATATTTCGCTGAGAACTTTTTTTTTTGCATTTATATTCTTGAGACAGACCTACACCTAGCTATTCTTTCTCAGGTCTCCATCTGGGTTTGTTATTAAAGTTGTGCTGTCTTCATAAAATAAATTAAAAGTGCTTTCCCTTATGTAGTGGCCTAAGCGACACTGGTGCTGTTTGGGTTGGTTGGAATTCAGCTCTAGTTCTGTCTAGTCTTGGTCCCTCTTCATTGGTAGATCTTGACTCGGCTGTTTGTGGCATTGGTTCCAGTAGTCAGTTCCATTTTGGTGACTTACAGTGTCTCGGAAATCATCCATTTCTTCCAGCTTTTCATATCTGTGGCCATCTTGATATATATAGTATCCTATGCCTTCTTTTCTACAATAAATTTGCTTTTTTTCTCTAATGGGACTTCTGAGGAATTTGTTTCAAAGGACCAGCTTTTGGATTTATTTACCCTTCTATTATCTTGTTCATTTCTTAATATTGTCAGAACCAAATATCTGTATTTTCAGTGTTCCTTTATAATGAAAATATGTAAAACCCAAATTCTCATCTGAATCTATGAAGCTTTTGCTGTGTCTTCTTAGATTTTGATTTTGTTACCCTCCTTGATCCAAGGGTTATCCAGAAATGTTATCAATTGGGAGTTATTTTTAAACACCCTCCCTCAGTTTTAACAGATCATGATTTGTAAACATCTGCTGTAAAAATCTCTTTTAGAATTTGTTTAAATTTTCTTTACAGTAGTTACATGGTAATTTTTTAAACTTTCAATTGCTTTTCTTTATGGCACTGACTGAAGTACCTGGTTTTCAGTGAGCTAGCCTTGATCCAGCCTTGATCCAGCCACACAGAATGCCAAGCACCATGATTAATTTACACTCTGGGTGCAGACCAACTGGATCCCTAGACCTCAAAATGTGGTCAAGCGAAAATTTTATTCTTTCAGGTTGTGCTCATTTTAGATGCTAGAAACTGTTTTTTCTCCTTGATTAATGGCTTCCTTCTTCCACAGAGCAATACTCCCATCCCAACTCACAGAAGAAATCAGCTTTTCCAAAACAAAAGATGAACAGAAGGCTAAAACTGGATTCTTGGCAATACAAACATATTTTGCTGGTGGCATTTATATTGGTGGACTACCCACAACTACCATTCATGGACGTGTTACTCTTATATTTACATACATCATCCCAGCCCACAAAATGACCCTGTAATGTAGGTAGGGCCCGGAAAGCCTGTGATGCCTTATCCAGAGCCCTTGGAATGTCCTGGCATTCTGGTTCTTTGGATTTGAGAAGGTACACGTACCGTATAACACACAACGCCCTCAACAGCACCACGCACACCACCCGCAGTCAACTACATTTTCTGCAGCAACATGTGTGACCATTAGTACAAAGTGGGATATGGTCTATATAAATGGCTTCAACCCAATTCTGCTGCCAAATAAGTTTTGGTGTCCCCTCTCTGGGAAAAATGAAAACATTTCTTTTTTCAGCAGTTTGTCTTTGGAGTTGGGTATGAAAAGGAGCCTGAATCCCATTTACAAATGGTAACAGAAGGAGGTTCTTCCTCATGCCCTCCCCATTTTCCCAGGTTGCCGTGCTAGTTTAAGAACAAATCTGTTCTGGTGGAAAAGCCTTTCTTCTTTACCCTGAGCTGCTGCACTGGGGGAGAGATCAAGGTGGCAAGTGGAAAAAAAAAAAATCAGGATATCCTTTATGGCTGAGATCACTGCCAAGTTGGTAGAGCAGTACATGTTGCGAGTTAGGATGCTGGGTGGTACAAAAAAAGCCTGAATTGGAACCACCAAAAATGAAAATAATGAACCTCAAATTACAAACACCAGGAAACAACTTCCATCACCCCTCACACCATTATATTGTGTATCTCTCCTTATGACGGCAAGGCTGCTTTACAACACTAAATTTCTCTTGAGGTATTATGATTTGAGTCATGCAACAAGTATTTGAGAACCTACTATATGGGGCCGCTGTGCTGCACAATAGGTAAGGGTGACAAGATTCACACATCCCCTGCTCCTCACAGGACTAGTGGTCTAGTGGACAACTACCAAACAGAACAGTAAAGGAAATCAGGCGAACACTTTTTCCAGCAGAGGAAATCTAACCTGGGCCAAGTCCTGAGTAACAGAGCAGGGAGTAGGCAAGCAAGAGGCAGAGAAGGTGGGGAGGCAACTGGGTTCCAGGCAAAAGAAAGGTTTGGGCCAAGGCCAAAAGTGAGAAAGACCACAGCAGTTTGAACCAGTTCAGTGTGGTTGGGTCATGTGTCTAAGAGTCGGGGGAGGACAACGAAGGGAGGAGTGATATACAGGCAAAAAGTGAGACTGGAAAGGTAAAAGGTGGCCGGTCTCATGGGTCCTGTGAGTCACGTGACAGCCGGGGCATTCCCGAAGGCAACGGTAGCCACAGACCTCGGCCTCCTCATCTCAGGCCTTCATGGGAATGGTGGGTACCCCCCATCTCTATCCCTCGGGATTCGGTCCTGCAGAGAGCAGGGGCCTCTTTCTTCTCTCCCGCACTTCATATCTGCGGCCAGGGCGGGCCTGGAAAGTTAGCCAGGCGGCAAAGACTTCTCGAGGCCTGGCAGGATGCAATGGCCCATGTCAGGGCGACAAAAGGATGGCCACAAGACAAAAGCGTTCGACAGGCCACCATGTGCACTTTTCCTCCCGGACCACTACCGCCACCTGCACGTTCGGCACCCCAGGCCCATTATTGAGACTGCTCCACGTAACTCCCACAGGGTGAACAAGGGGTCACTAGGGTTCTCCTGGGACCCATCCCGCCGCTTCCGCCTGAGCCAAGGCTCCGGTTGGGGGCAGTAGCCCGGTAAGGGTCGGGGAGAGTCGGGGAGGCCCGTGGGCCGAGTAAGGATGGGCGAGGGCAAAGGTGGGCCAGGAACCTCTGGCCGGCCGCCCTTCCCCCACACCGCGCAATCAGCCCCGCCCGCGCGACCCCCGGAGCGGGCCGACCGACGACCGAAAATCCGTCCTGATTGGGCCGCCCGCCCCTTCTGTATCGGCCTAGAGCTCGCACCCCGGCTGCGGCGAGGACCCACGGCGAGACACTCACCGTGGACGAGCCGAAGAACAGAAGCCCACCGGCCACACCGCAGATCCGCCCAGCAACCGCCGTCCGGCCGAGCCCCGCCCCGCGCGCAGGCGGATTGCGTCATCACGTCGCCCCGCCCCTCTGCCAACGCTTTCCTTGCCTAGCGCAATCAGGTCTTCCTCCCCTCCCCCATTCGCCGGCTTCCAAGTGCGCAAGCGCAGGCTCATCCGCGTTTTCCGCCTCTGCGCAGGCGCTGTGCCCCTCCCACGGCGGTTGGCCATATAGAGGCTGGGGGGGGGTGGGGGGAGGTCAAGCGTAGCCTCTTCTCCTTTACCAAGATGGCGGCTTGTGCCTGTTTCGCCACAGTTCCTGCCTTATGAGCTTGGCTTCCTTACGCTGATAAGAGTGGAACAGGTAATGTGATTTTTCGCACTGTGGGTAACTAGAGTGGGGGGAAGGAAGTTTCTTTAGAAAGAGCTAAGTGACTGCCGAGGAGAAGAGAGGCGGTCGGGGGAGGGTAGGTGGAGGTAAGAATGCGGAGCGACCGCGGTGGGGGGAACCCTCGCCTCTGGCCCTCTCCTCCAGGAAGATGGCGGCAGCACCGAGCTGGGAGCGCTGAAGCGGGACCGGGCCGGCGGCGGCGAGCGGCCGAGCGAGGCTGGTCTAGCTTCGGGTCGCCGTCGTCTCGTTGGTGGGGGTGCCTCGCCTCGATTGGCTGCTGCGGGTCACGTGGGTTGACGGGCCCGTGCGCGAACCATAGAGTTGGGCGGCTGTCCTCGGGGACTTGGCCTTCGCGCGTCCCGTGCTGGTGCCTGCGCCCGAGGCGGAGGGCGGGGCCGGGGCAGCCCCTCGCCTACTCCCTGTGGTCTGGGTCTCACGTTGTGAGACGCGGCTCGGGAACTGGAAGGCGACAGGCCCGGCCGGGACTAAGAGGGGAGCGGGGCTGCCCCGCCCCGCCCGGGGTGTCCTCCTTCTCCCTCCTGGAGGCCTGCAGGCCCAGCAGTTGTCAGATACTCGCTTCAAGGCTCGGGGCAAATGGGCTGGTTCAGGAAGCATTTGTACAATAGATTACTCCCGACTGAAAGTCAACACGTTTTTTGAGTGTCTGATGGGCGACAGCGTAGTGTTGGGAACCTAAAGCTGTTTCTGACACTAGGGGATACTGAGGGCATTTTCTGAAAAGTGGTTAGGTGAACTCAGAGCCAGGTGCCAAATATCCTCTCCCACCCGACTTAGAAAATGAGAGGGTCAGACTTTGCATGGAGTCTGGTTACCATGTATAAAACCCAAGGAAAAGTCGACCTATGTGGTGTTTATTAAACAACGCTTATAGTCAAATGAAACAGCTAAAGGATTATAGATGAGTCGAAATCTTCAGTGACAAGGATGACTTGCCCTTCAGTTTAGGGTTTTGATGTGGGTCCTAGGTTTCGCGGCTATCCTCAGCCCCCAGGCAATGATTTCACCTGTTTGGCGTCTGCTTAAGGATAGTCACTTTCTTGAGGCCCTGTTAAGATAGTGGGTCACAGGATTTTGTCTGCGGTACCTGATCGATGTTCATTTATGGAAGCAAACCTGGGATGAAACAATGAAACCTAGTGTTTTGGTTTATATTTGACCCTTTTGAACCCTCTAGGTAGCCCCAAGCCTAACCCATTAAGAACATTTAATGCTCGGATGCTTGGAAACTGTTTAAAGTAGCTGAGAAGGTATTTGGTTAAGAATGGCTTCCATCATGGGAATTCCCAGTTCTCTTTGTCTGAAACAGTAACCTATCATGGGAGTATTACCCTTGGAGAAAACTGTGCATACCCCCCCCCCCAGGCCTGGAGGGGGACAACGTTTGAAAGCCAGTTACATAATTTACGATGAGGATTAAGCTACCAGTAAATAGTTCACTGTTTGGGGACTTACCTCATCTTCTCTAATCAAGTTAACATCACCTGCGTAAATGTGCCCTGTGTGTTAAAGAGAGCACTTCTGAGATCAGCCCTGGCCCACCTTCAGCACCTCCAGGCCCCAGTGCCCTCTCCAGAGGGCCAAGCTGACTGCTCAGCGGCCTGATGGGAGAATTTTGTCTTCAATCATCAAGTATTTTTTTCCTTTGGTTTTGTTGTTGGGGGCCTCTGATTGACTTCAGCCTCAACTTCACTTCTTCAGCAGTTCAATTCAAAAAACATTTATTGGAAATTGCTGTGTACCGGACACTGTTAAGGGGTCTGGTGATGCAAAGGTAAAGGGGAAATAGACTTTTTTTCTTTTCCTCAAGCAGTTTATGGTCTAGTATTCACTTGTAAAAGAATAATTAGATTACAGTGTTCTTATGCAGTAATGGAACTATATATAACATTTGGATATAGGGAAGAGGATGCAGTAATTACCAGTTACAAAGCCTTACAAAGAATGTGGTTCTTGAACTAGGGTTCAGAGGATGAATAAGAGTTTTTTCAGGTGGAGTCAGGAGGATGAGGTGTTCTAGACAGGAAGACTAGCTTATGCCCAGGAGACACGGGACAGCTATAACAGGGCATATACGGGCGAGAGGTTGAGAATTTGGTAGACTGCTGACCTCTCAGGTGGTGGAGGGCTTGTTGAGATCCTGTTGTGAAGGACTTCATGAACTTCGGTCAGTCCTGTTGTCTGAGACACTGACTGGGATGGAGTTTCAGATGATTACACTGCCCACGAGGCTGACTTGTGATCTTTAGCCTGAGCGGATCAGATAGATTCTCAATGAATGCTTCCCAGCTGAAACTTACTCATTTACCAAAAGGGCTGGAGCAGAGAACACACTTTTTTATTTTTTTTT